GATGGCGGCGCCGGGCGCCGACGCGACCGCCGTGCGCGACGTGTTCGAGCGCGGCACAAAGGTCAAGGGTCTCAAGGCGCAGAGGGCCATGAAGTGGTTCAAGAGATGGGCTGAGTGGGAGGGCAAGACGGATCCTAAGGGCAAGGAGCGAGTTATGGCCAAGGCGGCCGAATGGGTGACGGCTGCCAAGGCGAGAAAAGAGGCCGGGGCTGCTGAGGACGAAGATATGGAATAGAGAGCGAGAGAGAGGGAGAAGGAGAAAAGGAGAGAAATAGATCCAGACCTTGGCGTGTTGTACTTTACCTATACCAGTCGCAAGGGGGGGGGCATTGGGTTTTCACTGTGGATTTCAAGCATTTGGCGTACAAAATCATCAATTTGTCGACATTATTAACCACAACCTTCAGTGGTCGCTACGCATACCACGTAGGGATTTGTTTCTTCATCTCCTCAATGATGAAACAGACGCATGGTCGTCGCCAAACTCTTGGCGGATATCCCGTGTCACAACGACCTCAGTCTTCTTCACGATGCCCGTTCCCTCGAGAATAAACTCTGTGCTACCGGCGTCGCTGGTCCCCTTTCCAAACTCGTGATCAACGCCGCTACCAAGGGGCATGATTCCACTGCCCCGTCCCCTCCAGCTGCGCATGGCAAAATCTCCGCCGCGCGCAGCGCTCGACGCGCCGGTACCCTGAACAGCATACTTTTGCGAAGGCCCGCCGGAGGCACCGGTGCTCCTCTCGCGGAAAGCCTTGATCAATGGTGCCAGCGTCGGGACGCAGGTGACTATAACGCCGAGATTGTTCTCGATGGTGGACCACATGATGAGCGGCGCGGAATCGAGGTAGTTGGCCAGGCGGACCACGGTCTGGATGCGGAAAATTTGGATGACGGTAATGAAGACACCCAGAGCTAGGAGGCCCAAGAGGACGAGCTTCTTGCGGCGCTGGATCTGGGCTCGTAGGAGGACGGGGAATGGCAGGAACATCCTGTTGTTGTCAGTCGGGAGATTGACAACGAAATTGACGGTGGGAGGAACACGTACACTACGACGTCAAAGAAGATCGTCAGGGAGGCCATACTGAGATAGAAGTGTACGGCCTTGACACATGTGCCGGCGACGGAGGTGTCCCATTGGAGGCGGATAGGGGTGCAGAGGTTGATCTGAACAATCAGAAACGAAAGGTGGAACATGCTGCAGAGGGCGATGACTGTGTATGTTGCATAGCGATAGATACCCTTGGGTATGATTCGGAGGTAGGAGAAGAGGAGGCTGAGCTTGAAGCCGTAGATGCTGGTAATGTAGCTGTCAACTGTTAGAGGTGGTCGCCTCGAAGGCGGCACGGGAATGGGATGGCGGAGGACGTACAACGGAGCGCCCATATACTGCAGAAGACCGAATTCGTAGACGTTTTCCTCTGGAAAATCATCAAGATGCAACAGACCGAGACCCCATTTTGTCTCTGCTGGAGTGTTAACAGATGCGGCACAAGACTGCTCAGCGTGGATGAACTTACGGATGATGGTGACGACGGCAAATCCGGCGCAGCCAATCTACAAACCAAGTCAGGCAAGGTCTAGGAAACCAAGAAAAATTGCGAAATTATCTTCCTTACCCAGGTGAAGCAAATAATCCAGTCGTCTGAAAAGTTGTCAGTCATAAAGCACTTCCTCCTTTAGCTTTTGTCGTGCGGAGATACATACCCGCTCCGGTGGCTTTGATCATGAACCCCCTCACATACATGCGGAGGCAAATAACAATCAGAGACAGTGTCGTAAAGGCGATGGCGATCCCGGTAATCATAGGGCCATCGTTGGCGGTGCCCACAGGGGTGCCATATGTCCAACCCTCGGCCAACATGACGAAAGGCAAGTTCCTTTGTACGGGAGCGATAGCCTCTCGAACTGTGATCGGCACAAAGAACAAAGAACACAGCAAACAGACGTAAATCCAGAATGAGTTGCAGTGAGGAAGCGGTGCCCACAGGGTCGAGGTGTGGGACCGCTGATAGAAGTATGCTTGAGAGGAGGGCAGAAAAAAAGGGGTCCGCTTCCCCCCCCCCCCTTCCCCATATGATGCCGCTGCTCGATATCGCCAAAAAAAAAAAAAAAGCCGAAGCAAGCGATGGCAAGGAAAGAATTCTCCACGCGCCTCCACTATACTGAGCTGATACATACGGACTACCACAAGCTTGGCAGCATCTTGAATCTTATTCCACGGGTGTAACCCAACGCGGCACTGCTCTAGGTGTTCGGGGATGGCGGGTGGCTGGAAGGGTTCTCCCCGCCAGGCATGACTTGGGGGGGGGGGGCGTCTCTAGCTTACGCATGGCCCTCTTTTTCACGATGGTACGAAGCAGGTTCGTGAAGAAGACTGACTGAAAAGAGGGCAACGGCGCTTTCGAAGGCGTCGCGGGCGCTATTGCGGGCGACATGTCGCAGTCCTGAGGCCTCTACCCCACCACAAGGTTAGCCTAGTGCCCTGGGATCACCATGTAAGCCACCGTCGCGGATCGCTTCAAATATGGGAGACTAGCAATGGCCACTGGAAATGATGAGTTGCCAGGCAAGGTAGGCAGGTAGCGGTTCCTCGGCACGACCTCCCCCACAGGAGACGCCACCACGCTTAGCTCAGTATTGCCAAGGACTACAGAATATGGACGATGCTCTGGGAGAGGGGGGTATTGAAAAGAAAGCTCACTCTGACCTCCGTGAGAAGGCCGCAAAGAGAGGATCCAAGAGGAGTAGACAGCCGCAATGAGAGAGCGACGACGAGAGTGCAATGCTCGTGAAGAAGGCCTGTCAGACGTGACTCGGGGAATCAACTCTGTGTCTCAGACCCTTGTGCCTGCCAATCCGTATTCTAGTCTATTTTTCTGGGGCATATAACGTTTTCGACGACCCCACGACGGTAAGTGCCGCGATCAACGGAAACGGCTTTCAAGGACTGTCATGGTGTTGACGATAAGATTTGGGAAAATGAGATTGAATTTTGAGTGGTTTGTTTGTCGGTAGGGGGCGATCTTTACCTACCCAGGTGAGGTAAGCTAAGAAGGGGAAGACTTGCCAGCTGAAGACGCAGCTTCTGAACAGCTCATGACAACGGGCAAGCTCTCCCCCGCCCCTCTCTTCCCGATGTCTCGTGGCGAGGAACCCTCATGCAGAGAGCGGATGTCAGGAGAGCAACGGGGCAGGAGTTGTACTACATGTCTCGGTGTTTTTCAATTGGAGTGGGGGGTGCTTGCCCCCCAAGACACATGCCTCCTGCACGGTGTATGCGGCATCCAGGTGTGATCACATGATGCTGGTCGCGCATTGGAAGGAAGGACGTACAACCTGTGTGTGTGTGTGCGTGTCGGTGCGCCAAGAGCATCCACCACGCCTTCCCCGGCACGGCTTTTGTAGCGGAAGCTAGTCCCGATCATCTCGGCAAGCCCCACACCCAGCACAGACATTGGACGCGGGAAGGGAAAGGGACCAGCCGGCAGTACCTGGAGGGTCGTGCTTGCTAGTGTGCGGCCCTACCCCCACCGAAGGCACCACCTCCCGTGCTTCCCTTCCCCAGCAGAAAATCCCTAATCCCCTGATCTCGCGACGACGCCTCTTGGTCTCGTCTGCCCATCCATGACCCTTGCTCGTCCCATCCACCGCCATGACTACAGCTGCATGTACATGTAGCATGCATCACGACCCAGTCGTCGACTGCCAGGCTTATCTGCAACCTTGGGGCCCCTGGCCGCGCCGTGGTGCCTCATTTTGTGCCTGCAGGTGCTGCCTCTCCTGCACACCTCGGCCGTGCTGCGGAAGATTTGCCGAGATGATTCCATGCGCCTGGGTTCAGATGGGGATATTGACTCGCCGCCGATGGCCTTCCCCTTCCCCTGGCCCCCCTCGACCCAACCATGCAAGCACCAAAGCATCCAGTCAGCACCGAGCACCAAGCAAGCACTCTGCCGAGTGCAACCTCAAGAGGTGGCCTCGCGTCACCCACCTGGCCCACGTGGGTTGTTTATCATCCATCTCCAGTACAGTGGTTCGCCAACACAGCATTCATCTTTCGCCAGCTTCTCTGACGTTTCCATGACTGGCCTGTCAACCGACTCGGCCTCCTCCAATATTGGAATCAGGACCCCTGACGGTCCAGGTGCCAGACCCAGACCGACCCAAACCATGTAACGGCGGCCGACATGCAAACCAACCCAACGTGCAGTTCGACAGCCGAAAGTTACCTCCCATGAATAGGTCGCAGAGTTGCCCGTCGAGCTCGACTCGGGTCCCTGCTCCCATGGCGACAATACTCACCTGATAATAAGTTAGCCTTCGATGGCTGGCCACCGGATGTTCGGCCTCGGTCATTGCACCAATTCGCGCGCACTAGTGGCATTATTTACTGCCTCCCCCCCTCCCTCGCTCTCTTGCACGTAGCTTTGCCATCATCGCCCCTTGCAACTACACCAAACGGGGACAGAAGCCAACTCGGCCCTTGTCCAATCCCCGGCATCCTTTCCTCTTTGGCCGGGGAGACCCGCAGTCCAGACGCCCACGCCACGTTAGGGGAGGGGGTACGGACCTCTGTCGTCTGCGTTTTGCCTTTGCCTGCGCCGTTCTATTGACCCCGTCTGCCATGTTCGTGCGGTGGTGCGTTGGGACTGCGCCCGCGTTGCATTCCCAGATGTGCTGGGCTCAATGGCCTTCTTGCCCCGATTGCCAAGGCCGGCCAAGGCGGCCTCCACCTTGCGGGCCGCGCTGTCGGGACCAGCAAAGTCGTACAAAATGTTCTAGCCGCCCCTCGAGGCCGCAATGACGAATCTCTCTCTAGAGCTAGAGAGATCGGAAAAAGGCAACTTCACTCTCTTGATTGCTTCTTCTATCCTGCCTTTTCTCTCCTCTTGTCGCTCTCTTCCTCTCTCCTCACCCCTCCCTCCCCCTCCCCTCCCTCTTCCTTCTCCGTCTCCGACTGGTCGCAGCCTGCACCTCCATCCTGACCACCCCTCACGATGAAGACCTTCTTCGTCCACGCCATCCTGGCGGCCACAGCCTGGGCTGCCCCCGAGCTTGTCGCCAGGGGTCAGTCTTGTAAGTGCTTCCCCGGCGATGCTTGCTGGCCTTCCACGGCTCAGTGGAATGCCCTGAACACGACTGTCTCTGGCAGGCTCATTGCCACGACTCCTCTCGGCTCGCCGTGCCACGACCCGACCTACGATGCTGCCAAGTGCGCCGACCTTCAGTCGAAGTGGCAATTCTCGGAGATCCAGTAAGTCACGCTCCCCTAGTACATTCGTTGGTGGGCCGGAGAGATGGGGTCCCTAACCATCCGAACAGCATGGACTCGTCCTCCTCTGTCATGGCGCCCTTTTTCGCCAACCAGAGCTGCGACCCTTTCCAGCCTCGCGAGCGCCCATGCACTCTTGGCAACTACGTTGTCTATGCCGTTGACGCTCGCACGCCTGGTGATATCCAAGCCGCCATCATATTTGCTAAGAAGTTTAACATCCGTTTCGTCGTTCGCAACACGGGTCACGACTACAATGGCCGTTCCACTGGTGCTGGCGCAATCTCCGTTTGGGTTCACAATATGAAAGGCGCCAAGGTCGTCGACTGGGCCGACAAGAACTACCAGGGCAAGGCACTCACCGTCGCTGCCGGCGTCCAGGGCTTTGAGGTTATGGAGGCTGCCAACGCCGCTGGCCTTGCCGTCGTTGGCGGTGAGTGCCCCACCGTCAGTCTTGCCGGAGGCTATACTCAGGGCGGGGGCCACTCAGCCCTATCGACTAGCTTCGGTCTCAGCGCCGATAACGTTCTCGAGTGGGAGCTTGTCACCGCCGATGCCAAGGTCGTCAAGGCCAGCCGTACCGTCAACGCGGACCTCTACTGGGCTCTGTCCGGTGGTGGTGGCGGCAACTGGGGCGTTGTCACCTCAGCCACCGTCAAGGCGCACCCTGATGCTGTCTTCGGCGGCGCCACCGTCGCCTTCTTTGCTGCCGAGAACGATGCGACTGCCTTCTACAAGGCTATCGATGCATTCCACGAGGAGCTTGCCGCCATGGTCGATGCTGGTACCATGGTTGTCTACTACTTTGCGGCCGCCTTCTTCCAGATCGCACCTATCAACGCCTACAACAAGACCGAGGAGGAGGTCCGCGCCATCCTCGCTCCCTTCCTCGCTCGTCTCGACGGTCTCGGCATCAAGTACACGTCCGCCTACTCCGAGTTTGCTGGTTACCGCGATCACTACAACAAATACTTCGGCCCCCTGCCTATTGGCAACATCCAGGTCGGCATTGCTCAGTATGGTGGCCGTCTGATCCCCCGTGCGTCGATCACCAACATCACATCCTACACGCGCCTGATTGGTAACACTGAGGGTGCCATCTTCATTGGCGTTGGTACCGATGTCTCGTCCTTCGGTTCCAAGATTCAGAACTCGGTGGTCCCCGCCTGGCGCAAGACACTAGTCCACGCCACCATCACGACGCCCTGGAGCTTCCAGGCGCCTTGGGCCGACATGATTGCCAACCAAAACCTCATGACCAACAAGCTCATCCCCGCTATTGAGAAGCTTACCCCTGGTGGCGGTGTGTATCAGAACGAGGCCGACTTCCGTCAGCCTCGCTGGCAGCAGGAGTTCTTCGGTGCCAACTACAACAACCTCCTCTGCATCAAGAAGGAACGCGATCCCGAGGGCTTCTTCTATGCCCTCAATGGTGTCGGCAGCGAGGCGTGGACTGTCGCCAGCAACGGGCGTATGTGCAGGGCTTAGTGCTATAGATGGATACATGCAAAAAAGTACAATAGTAGCTTAATAATGCCATCTTTTCCGCCATTATACAGGTGCTGGTGCAAACGCGAACCACTCCTTGATTCCCACCGCCGCGTAAGGCCCGTTGCCTGACCCAACAAACACTGCCCGTAGCATGGTCGTCTTGACCGTGGCGAAGCCTACCTCAGCGGGTGAATCCGTCACCTCGTTTGGGTACGGCCCCTCAGCCGCCACGTCCTTCCACGCGCCGTCAGCGGCACGATACTCGACCCTCCACTCTCTCGGCGGTGCCACACCGAAGTCAGACCCCGCCGGCGCGTCGGCGAAGAAGGCGACGGCCACTCCGTTGAGCTCGACTGCCGCGTCCCACGTGTAGGTGAGCACGCTCTCGCGTGGCGACGCCTCTCCAGCCCACGCGGACCAGTAGTCCGGCGGCAGCGGCGTCGAGGGGACGCGCTCGTCGTGCAGAGCCGCAAGCCAGTACTGGACGGGCGTGCGGGGTACGGAGGACGGCTCTGCCAGCGGCGCCACGTTGCGGCTCGGCGGGCGCGGGGCCGAGAGGGCCGGACGGACGGAGCGCTCGACGGGTCGGATAGACGGTGGGCTGGCGGCGTCGTCAAAAAGGAGGGGGTCGAGGGCGATGCTGCGGCGAAAGTGGCCGCCGCCCTCAGCGTCGGCAGTGTGGTAGACGAGGAAGTGCGCGCCGTCCGCGAGGACGTAGACGCCTGGGTGGCTCGTGGTGCTGGAGACGATGGGGAGGACGACGCCGCGGAAGGTCCAGGGGCCGAGCGGCGACGAGGCGGTACCGTAGGCGATGCAGGCGTGGTACGAGGTGGGCGTGCAGGGGGAGTCTGGGCCCGCGTTGTTGGCGGCGTAGAGCATGTAGTAGGTCTCCTTGCGCTTCATGAACCAGGGGGCCTCGAAGAAGCCCGTGAGGGAGGTGACGGCCGTGATGCTGCCGATGATGGTGGTCATGTCGGACCCGAGCTCGACGCCGCGCAGCTGGTTGAAAGAGCCCCAGTAGACAAAGACGCGATTGTCGTCGTCCACCAGAACGACTGGGTCGATATTGTGTATGTCGTTGCGGACGGGCACGGCCTGGGAGATGATGGGACCGTCGGGATGCGCATCAGTAAAGGGGCCCGTCGGAGAATCGGACACGGCGACGCCGATGCCAAAGGCGTCCTGCGTGCCGGGATCGCGCTGAGTGACGGATGCGAAGAAGTAGAAGCGGCCGTCGGCACCTTGTATAATCTGGCTCGCGTAGGCGCCGCCCGAATCGGCCCATGCGAACAGGGCCTCGGGGCGGGCGACGGCGCGTTGCAGAGTCCACTCGCCACCAGCGGGGTCAGGGCTCTGGGCCGAGAAGAGCTGCCATTCGTTCATAATGAATGCATTGGTTGTCGGCGGCGCTTCGTCGCGGCCGCTCAGGATGTAGACCGTATCGTTCACGACAAAGGGTGCTGGGTCGGCTGAGTAGATGGAGCCATCGGAGAGGATGGGGTTGCCATCGGAGACGAAAGTCTCCGTCTGCCGGCCATGCAAGGAGAGCGAGAAAACGGGCAGGGCCATACAGGCGGAGATGAGGAGGCGGTAGTACTTCATCCTGGCGAGGTCGTCCGTAACTTGTCCGGCTGGATAGGTTCCTAATCGGTCAGCCAGGCAATAGTTGAGTACATGAAGATGCTCCTCGCGCTGTGTGATTGTCTATAGGTATGTTCGTCTGACATGGTCTTCCGACTGTTGTCTTGATATAACCAGAGCAGCCGCCATGTAATGGGGCATGCATTTGGTCATCTTCACGCTCTCACTACGACTTCTCCTGAGACACTGTCGGCCTTGCCACAGCCGTATTCGAGGTACGCATCTGACTCGAGCGGCTGCGCCTCGAGATTCGAATGCCACTGTAGTTGTCGCGTATAGACTGATATGGGCACCTTCTTCATTTGTCAATCGACCATAACGTGAGGGAGAATGCACCGTGGTCTTGCGCGCCAATGATGGGCCCGCCCTCCAACATGACGTTGCATTGCAGACTATGGGGTGCCGCGGTTTTTTGTTGATCGAAGGCAGTCTCAGCGAATGTGACAATTTCCCCGCGATCTGCACGCTAGGGAGCGGATGCTGTGCTTTCGGGCGCCGCTTCTGGCTGTGTGTGGTATACCTGAGGTCGGCCGAAATAGCCGTGGATGATGCTCTCCGCGCAGATCATGCGACGAGCACTGGTGCCGACCATCAACGAAACCAAGGTGGTTTCCAGCGACAGTTTGACTGATATGGACGTCAATGCAAGAATCCGACCAAGAGCCCGCTTTGCGTACGCTAAGACCCACCGACCACCACACGGGATCAATCGCCATAAAGACGTCAACCAGAGCTTCGAGACAAGAATTTGCCGTGCGTGGTGGTCATGCCTCTGAGCGGCGCCGTGAAGGTCAAAAAAAGGGAAACCCCTGGTTGCGAGCTGGCTGTGTCCCGAGCAGCGGACGAACCTGCAAAAGAAATGGATAGCAACTGGACGTTTCGATCGTCCGACCTCCGGGTTATGAGCCCGGCGCGCTTCCGCTGCGCCAAGTTGCTTTGTTCGTTGTTGAGATGAGGCCAAAATTTGCCGTAGTATGTAGTCGTCGTGAGATGGAGCAAGCACTGACCGGCCCGCTTGGTGGGCGACGACGTGGGTCTCGTCCGGGTTCAGCAACCGACCAACGAGCCCTAGCTCGAAGACGTGGCCCATCAGGCGAGCGGGTGCCTGGTCATTCAAGCCAGTGACGACGGGACAAACGGTCTTGTCGTTGATGCTGACACGCGTGACGGAAGGGGTTCGAGGGGACCTTGGGTACATGTGGGTTCGTTCCTGAGGTTGACGGCGGTCTCTCCGAGTCTTTCCCGATCGAGCACAACGCGCCTGGTTCAGCCACCACTGATTAGCCTCGAACAGTACTCAAGCACTTGGTCATGCAGGTATTGGCATCAGTCCGTGGCTTTCGCTATGCCCGTTACATGTACCTAGGATAAGGAACGCAGCCTGCATTTGCCTGCTTTACCACCTTGGTCCGGACTGCGTTGGTGTCCTGGACGAATTGGCCAGTTGGCCCATCCAGGCAAGGGTATGGCTACACAATCTTCTCCTGTCCCCACCACGCCGCACCGCCCCCGCTTCTCGACTCTCTGCGTCCCACCCGGTCACAAAAGCACAACACCCGTTGAAAATCTCACGATACCCACTGCTTGCGACAATTGTTCGCTCTCCCTTACCGGTCAACATGATCGCCGCAAATGGCCCCATCTCTCATCAAAGCGTGAATGGTTTAGTGGTAAAATTCTCCGTTGCCATCGGGGAGCCCTGGGTTCGATTCCCAGTTCACGCAGCGTGGCATCAGCAGCATAACCGCATCATCATCATCAGATGTGTTAATGAGATTCTGGATTCCTTTTTTTTGGGTGCTTTGCTTCGGCGTTCTGGTCCAGACATCACATTGACGCTGTTGGGACTGATTAAATAAATGAACCATTACATGGACAAAAGACATCCTGCGTTGGGACACTGCTTCAGGCCTTAAACGACAGTTATGAGGAATCAAATGCATCTTTGACTGAGGAGTGAGGCTGTCCCTGTTGAGCATTGTGTTCGAGGATGTGGGCTAATGAACCCAGTATGACACTGCCTAGATCCTCTGGCAGACTGCAAGTGCTGGCAAGTGGCATCCGATGCAAGCAGCCCAAAATCGGTGTGAACATCTCGGCTTCATATCAGCGTCGGTTTGTGTTTGCCCAGTGGCAAAATTGGAAGCACAGAACAAAAGCTTAATCCAGTGACGGCCCACCAGATTTCATCATCTGAATGGGATGGGATTCGAACCCATGCCTACGAAGTAGACTAGCACCTGAAGCTAGCGCCTTAGACCGCTCGGCCACCCATCCTAATGTTGGTTGTTGAAGGAGCCACTAGAATTGTTACCTATAGCCTCAAATCAGATCATGCTCCCTACTGACAGTCCTGACCACAAGAACTCTTATCCTAGCCACTGTGCGATTATAAGGGGATTTACGGGTGGAGGACATCTCTGAGTTTTACAGGAGAAGGAGACGGTGGCAGGTTTTGGCGGGTAAGCCTGCAATCTGGCCATGAGACTCTCGCACAATCCTTCTAGGGGCGAGAACATTGAAGCAACAGCCAGTCCCCCACCCATATCGGACGGAACCTCCAGATCTGCGGATGCGGGCTCAACCCCCGTCTCTTCATCATGCATCATGATCTCTTTTGATCGCACGTTGCATCCAAACCCACTTCGAGGCTGAGGAGACAATGCATTTCATTCTTCTTGCGCCCCAATGATGTCCCGGCGCTTCAGTCCCGAGTGATCGATCAGTCGCCAGAGGACGATACGGGAGTACCCCGCACCCGACGTCAGATGCTCTGTGGAATGTCTGGGGAATGCGCTGAGGATCTACATGAAGGCGACCAAAAGGGCAGCTCGGTGGTCTTGGCCTCTATTCCGGCACTTGCTCGCCATTGCTGAGGATCGGATCATTACTATGCGGAGCCATTGTTGCCCCCTCGTTTCGTCTGGGGCGCCGGAATTCGTTTTGGGGTGACGGTCTCAAGAAGAAGATGTATAACGCCTGGTTGGGTATTTATAAGTGTGATCTTCAGGTCAGAGAATGGCCTGGTCTTTGCTGATTAGCGGACAAGTTGACTCCTCAAGACCTATCATCGCATCCCGGAAGACTGCAGGCTGCCCAGCATGCCATTCCTCGCACCAGGTTGGCCAGCAGCCATCATCAGCGTGCTTGCCGCTTCAGCCCTCGGCCAGGGAACGAACTTCCCTCCAGACACACTAGGACTCGAGAATGGCTTTGTCGAGATCGATACACCCAACTTGAGCGCCCGCATTGTCCGGGATGCCCAGGTCCTAGCCTCTCTTCGTGTGGCAGGAGAGAGCTTCGACTTCCTACCCTTCGATTACCTCGACCGCCGCAACCGCGATGGCCAGTATCAT